GAAGGACTGCTGTGATTTATATGAGACGGCTGTAGTTTGTTGTAATAACTTGAAAATAATTGAATTGTGTAGTTTTCCTTCATTCCTCTCACTCGTAAGTACCAAAGAGAGCAAAAGAAGGAAGTTGGATTGAATGAAGAAGAGCGTAATTGAAGTGGTATATAAAAGGAGAAAGAATCGAAATACTTTGGGTGAACTAGTTTACCCCACTGTTATGGAAGACAAGGTGAGATACCCAACCGAAGCTATAAGAATTAGTAAATGTTCTATTATTGCACTTCATCTTTAATATGTTTATGATCGCATTTATTTTAGTTTACCTTATTTCATTTTGTATGAATATGAACGAACATGTATAAAATTATTTATGCAGAGAGTAATCTTTATCAATGTTAAAAATTTCATAAACATAAAATGATAAATGTTTATAAACTAATGAATGAATAAAGCGCAGTCAAAGGGAAGCTAAATGGCAGCTAAAGCGTAGGCAAGGGCAGCTAAATGGCAGATAAAGTGCAGCCAAATGGAAGCTAATGCGTAGCCAAAAGGAAGCTAAAGCACAGCCAAAGTGCAGCTCTGTCATCAAAGCATATGTCATTAGGGATAAAAAGGATGATGACAAGGAAAGTGAAATAAGTTATATATGGAGGATAGGCCCGTACAAGTAAAAGTGAAAGACCCAACGAGGTAATTCTACACTCTCAATTCTAAAAGTTGGGAAAATTGGGCTCAACCCTGAACGAGAGAACATCTTCCATTCTGAAAGTTAGAAAGCTGGAACCAGCCTTGAATTGAAATGCTGAGAAGGTGCAAAAGCTTATAGTCATCATATGACTTGTTTAAAAGTGTTGAACATTTTTGGAAAAATGAATAATACGGCTAGGCATTTCTTATACTCAATATGACATTTCAATATGTGTTTTAACTAAGTTAGTATTGTTAAGCATTTCTTAATTGTTAATAATGTTATTACTAATTTTTATACATTTATTATATATTTTATTGAGCTTAGCTCATCAGCAGTGGTTGTACTACAGATTAGGGAAAGGAGCCTGTAGGACAATTGACGGGAGGTAGGTGACCGTTTCTTTTGGAGTAAATATATTTTGGTATACAAAAAGATCATAAAGGAGATCTGAATGATAGCTGTATAGACTTTTGGGTATGTAAGTAAATTTTAAAAGTTTTAGTATAACTCTGTATTTACTTCAATTATATTTGATGTTCATTAAGGAACATTATATGATTCCCATTATTAATTATAGAATTTGATATGATGGCAAGTTAGGAGAGTCTAAATAGATTTATTTTTACTCACTCTATTCATAAAATAGTGCCTCAGAATGGGTGTTAGTAAAAAGGAACATGTTTAAATTTTCCTTCTCTGTTATACTCTAGATTGACCGTTAGGTGGTAGGCCAAACTGGGGTGTGACATTGTGAAAGTTGTATGATAGTTTTGAGAGTTTTGTTTGGTGTTTTAATTTAAGAAGTTTCATGTTTTAGTTGGTGTGAGTTTGTTTTAGTTTTGTTTCGTGTAAACACTTTTCTTTTTTTTTTACATTTTATTTTATTTGTATTATTATTCAATCAATTAATTAACAAAATGAATTTTAAATTGGTTAATTAATGAAATAAATAATTATGAAGTTATAAATTTTATGATTAAATAAATAATTAGGTTTTAAATTTATTTTGAATTGACTGACTAAATGAAATATTAAATTGCTCAATTAAATTTGAAAGTTATTTTAAAATTGATTAATAGATTTAATTACAGATTTTAATTTCATTAAAAAAATGATATTTTAATTTTATTAACTCATTATTCAATTAATTAAAGAATTTTAAATGGTTTAATTATTCAATTAATTAAATTTTAATGTTAATTCTTATTTGAATTAAAAAAATTTAATATTATTTTAATTAATTAAATTACTTAAATTTAATTTGAATTTAATTAATTAATTAAATGAGTGTTTACATGAATTAATCTTAATTTTATTTTAAAATTAATTAGTTCATTATTTAATTAATTAAATGAGATGAATTATTCTCTAAAAATTAAATTAATTATTTTCAAATGGATTAATTAGTTTTCATATGAATTAGTTAATAAAATAAATTAAAACATCTCAAATTACTCTCCAATAGCTCCAAAAATGAATTTGGCAACTTGCAGCACCCCTCCCTGCGATGAGAAGCCGAGACGGCATTTACCATGATTTTTACCCTCCCGGATCAAATATCAATAGCGTAGGGTCTTCAATTTGAAATTTTTTTTCGCACAAATAAGTGATCAATGGCATATGATCTTTAAATTTAAAAATTCATTCTGTCTAGATCAAAGATCAATGGCGTGAGGTCTTTGATTTTAAAATGCTTCTTCCCGGATCAAAGATCAAGGTGCAAGCCTTAAAATTTCAGCAAATACCTGCTGCTTCATTGCAAAAAAAATAAAAAGGTTATTTAATTATACATCGATTTTATTATTTGGCTCAATACATGTCACTCCCATTTGAATCTCTTTTCCAAAACTTTGCATGCATTCCTAAACCAGACTATTTTATTCTCCTTTGCCTCTATTTTTTAAAGCCATTATAGGTGGATGTTGAGACAACACGTCAGCTAGGCCTTCTAAGGATAGAATTTTGATGGAATTGGATGTTATGGGACACTTTAATAAGGTGTGGATTGAAACCCCATCATCTAGTTATTAGTAAAGGGTGGATTTTGAAAACATCCCAGCATACTACTCCTTTTATATTTTTAGGCATAAATTTTTTGAATATTTCAAGGCCCATCCTGAACTAAGAAATCATAAATATAAGGCACATGTCTTTCCAACTAAAGCTCATATTCACCATTTGGTGGAATACCCTCCCATATCAGTAAAGTTATGATTCTAAAGTTTGCAGCGAGGTTCAGACTATCTCCTGGAGATAGTCTGGCTGATATTCCTGCCCCAACTAGCCCCTTGGTGTTGATTAATTCAGCATCGGCTAAGATTATCACCAAAAAATATTCCTCCATTTTTTTAAAGACCTCAACTTCATCATTTTTGTGAACACAATGACGATTTCATATCTCAATAGATTTTTATTCAAGAAATGGATTAAAATGGTCCTTTAATTCTTTAGGAATGATCAAAATGGTCCCCAACTATTTTAAGGGACCATTTGGGCTAAAAAATATTAAAAGATAAGTGGGGCACACGAGAAGCTTAAGTTGAAGTTCTTAAGTTTATTTCTTGCAATAATCCTAATAAATTTAAATTGAAGTAAATGTAAAGTTCATTTAAGTAAATATAATCATCATTAAGTTTATAATAAAAAATAAGCTTATCATTACAAAATAGTTAGACATATTTTTTATTTATATAACTAAGCAAATTTAAATTAAAACAAATCCAAAAGTTCATTAAAGTAAATTAAATCACTATTTAAGTTTATAACCATAATTAACTTCTCCCAATTGAAAATCAACTATTTTATGTAATATTAAAACTAGGTGTGTAAGTGAGTCAAGCCGACTCGAGCTCGACTTGATTTATGGCTCGTAAGTTGAGCTCGAAAAGTTAATGGGCCAAGTTTGAGCCAACTCTGACATAACTCGTCGACTCATAAGCTGATTTCTAAAAAAAAAAATATATCAAATGTACTTAAAATATAAATATTCATAATTACAAAATTGTTAAAAATATTATAAAATTAAATCTCACCTTCTCATATTAAATGATTATTTATTAGTTTTCTTCAAATTTCTCATTTTTTTTACAATTTTATTATAATAATTACTTGAATCTTAAGCTTGTTCTCTTTCATAATAAACGAGCCGACTCGTAAGGTAGAATTAAGCTTGAGCTTAAGCTCAAACTCGATTAATTAATCAAGCTCAAGAAAGTGGTGAATCGAGCTCGACTATACTCGTTCACACCCATAATTAGAACACTGTGAGAGGTAAAGAAAATAAGCTTAAACACAAATGCAACCAAATAATTTTCCCAACTTATCATAGCAAAACCTTTTCACCAACCATTAAGCTTATTTCGCTTAAAGCTTAAGTATATCATAAGTCTAATGACAAATAAACTCTAAAATAAATGAAAACTATAAATCAAGGACGATCATAATCTATCAATGTTTCAGATGCGCTCGTCCCTATTCCTGATTGTGCTCTCAAGTGCTCACTATACCGGCAAGCCTGCTTTGCCGCACTAATTGGGCAGTTTGAGCATGTTTGCTTTGTCATGTGTGATCATCTTCCATTGCAGGCATTCTATGTGTGGCTCTATTATGTTCTTTATCGTTTCCAATCATCAAAGGAAATGTTTTACAGCTCTCATTTGTGCTTGATTTTGCTTATCAACTGCATCACCACTATGTGGGGTGGTGGTGCCTAAGGGCAATGCTTTTACTCCTATGACAACTATGTCATTTGCGCCCTCGATGGCGCCGCTATGGGCTAATTCTAGTTCTTTATCTAAAAATGTTTACTCTTCATTTATATGACAATGTTCTTCCTTGCTTCCCAAAAGGTGGCGCATAGTATTTTAACCATTGAAAAATCATATAGTGTTAAAAGTGCCTAATGCTTTTAATAACTATTTTTATAATTGGCTCCTCAATTTTTTTCTAATTTAATGAATCCTTGTGTCCAAAAGCTTGACAAATAAATGCAGCAAGCATCAAAACTTTCTTGAACTCCTATAAAAGTGGAAATCTTGTAGTAAAGAACATTGGAAATTGTTCTTGAAAATATTAAAATGTAACAAGATGGTTATTGTGTACCTCAATTGTTTTGATATATGAAAATCATTTACATATGGCCAACCAACATTTTCTAAATGTTGTAGTGTTTTTCCACCAAACAAAGAAATAATAGAATTCATCATAAATATTAAAATTAATGGGGTAAGAAAATATAAATTCATCCTAGTTTATCAAAGCAATGTGGCACCATAAGCATCCAAGGAATTTAGAACAAAAGAATGCAGTTCACCAGTCAATAGATGCGAGTAATATAACAAATTGTTTGCAGCAAGGCCTTCAACAAGATCCCAAAGCTGTTGACCATCTAGCACTTGCCCTCTAAATGTAGGATATCCTGTACAATAGACATTGTCATATAGCTATTTGATTGGCTGTTGGATGTGCACTTGCAGACAGCAGAGCACCATAAAACATTGCCATTAGATTACACAAAAAAGCTTGCCTGTATGATTAGAGAACTGCACAGAGTTTATTGGATCAACATCGTATCCAAGAAGTTGAAGAGGTAAAACAGCAGACTTATTGCCAACATATCCCTAGGAAAGAACATATTCCAACCATTAATGCATAAGTAGATAACTATTGATCAAGTTTATGTACAACTAAGACACATTTCATGGTTTTAACATACTTTTAACTGGTTCTTATATAAAACCTCAAACTTCCTCATATGGGTGGTTTGGGGCAAACATTTTTAATTTAAAAAGCACCCATGCGAATTTAGGATTAGCAAAGGCAACTTTCGCAAAACAACAAAAGATGAAGCCAATTAACAAAAAAAAAATAAAAAAAAATAAACATCATGTGGCCAGCATGCAAAAAACATGTGCAAATGTGAATTTTCGACAAAATAACTGGATGGAACGTCTCAATTATTACAGTGTTTACTTCAAGTTTGTAAATATGTTACCAAAATCCTTGAGAGTTCCTAATTTCTTTGCCAACACAATTCCATATTTCTCGACTAAGAGCTTTGAATTGAATGTAGCATAAAACGTGGAAAGCAAAAGAATGAATTGTGCTAGATTTGGGAGCTCTAAACATAATAAGCATACAAAGAATTTAGAATTGATGGATCCTTAAATAGATAGTACTTACCGTAAATCTTCTTTTCTCATTTCATTCTATTTCTTGTTCTCTTATCTATTCAATACATTCATTCTTGCTGCTATGAAATATTTCAACTAGAAAATTTTTAAGATATCAGTGATAAAGCGGTGAGAGAGCATGAGAAACACAGCAGTAATATTGCAGATTACTTACTCTTTTTAAACTGCGGCTGCAAATGAACATTTTTATTCCTTAAATTGTAAACAAAGTACAAAAACTACAAAGCTCGCAGCACGAAACTTTACCTGCAGCATCCTTCCGATTTCAACTAACTCAGATTTCAGAATTATCCCTTCCAAAAAGGGATTGAAAGAGCAGTGAGATGGATTAAGGAAAAAATAGAAACTTAATATGCAGAAGAAGTACGGTATGTTTCTGGTATATTAAAGTAGAAAATTACAATCGACATGAATTGTGGCAGAAAATAGGACCAAACTGATAGGAAATAAGCGTCCACAACCAGAAAAACGGCTGTTTCCAGAAGAAAACAGCCACCACACAGCACAAATCTTAAGGAAAAACAGTAGAAACTGGGAAAAATCTGAGAGGAAACAGTAAATTTCACTAAATGAAGAAGAAGTACAGCACATGATTCAAGTTTCTTCAATTCGCGAGGAAGAAACAACTCTCCAAATCTCTAGCCAAGCCTAGAGCCCACGAGAACAGACCTTAGATCTCAAATCAGATTTCAAATTCAAGATGAAAAGTAAACCCTAGCCAAAAAGACTAATTAAAGCAAAAGGATAAAAGTTAAATCCCTAAACAGCCCCCCTAAATTAAATTTTCCCTCCAAAGCAAGGCTTAATTAGTGAGTAGGCCCTTCCCAACTTAGCTGCCCCCTCTCTCTCTCTCCTTGTCCCACCCCCCCCCTTGTCCCCCCCCCCCCCCCCCACCCTTGTGGCCTTCTGCCTGTAGACATGAACCGGTCCACTAGGGACAGGTTCAACCAGCCTAACACAAACCTTAAAGCCCGTGCAAAAAAGAAAAGGTTAAAGAAGGATTATTGTTGTGGGATTGCTTTGTTCGCATAGAATTGGAAAAGGATTAAAAAAAAAGGAGCAGATAAATTTAGAGGGAAATGTACTAGTAGAGAAAGAAGAAAACCTGAAGAAAAAGGAGACAACAAGAATTTCAAGAACCGTACTCCTGGGACTCAAGAAAAGGGGAGAATGTTGAAATTATGAGAGGAGGAAGCCAATGCTTATTTGCATTCAATAATTAATTTTCCCATGAAAACCATATGAGACTAATAATAGAAATCAATTTTTAGGCCAACTTCATAACAACCCTAGACAAAAAAGCAAATAGAATAAAGAAAAAAACAAAAAATCGTTAAGTGTATCATCATCATTCGCATAACCCAACTATTTGGGCTTTTGGTTTATCGAGTTATTTGGGCTTGGTTTTATGAATATTCATTTACGAATTGTTCTTCTTGAGTGTTGCTTGAGGATGAAACTATTCTATGCAAATCTTTTTGCAAAACTTATATACATGTTACCTTTGATCAAACCACCTTCCTTCCTAATCATTCAATACTAATTTTATCTATACATCTTATGGTACATTTTCTACCATGCATTTTGTAAGTTCAAACAATCAAGTCTGTTTTTTACTAGCTTATCTTCAATAGATGTTACTCCCTTTAGTATAAATATTCCTTAATCTATGTTTCCTAGTTCTATCATACATCTATCTTAGCATTCTCATGATAGACTAATTGCATGATTTTATACAAAATTGGTATCCAGCCCTAGGAAGAGAAATGATAAACAATCAAATAAAACATGAAATAGAGAAAATAACATTGATTTCAGAATTATGACATAAAAGATGCCTAAGAACGAGCATAGTTTATGTCAATCAGATCAAGCATGCACAAACTATTGTGATCCTGCCTATAACCTACATTTACTCTCCAAAATGCAAAAATACTCTCATCTTTAAAAGTAGAAGTTGCGTTACATTATCGGGAGAACTGGGTCTGTATGATGCAATTGATCATAAAAAAAGCTAAGCAATATCGGCAACAAATCAGAACTTATTTAACATCACCTATTGATGGAGGTAGAACTGGTGGCAAAACTAGCATAGATATTGCTTTGGGAGTTGCAAAAACCACCTATACAAAAACCAAGAAGCACTGGAGCATCGAAAGTGCTTTGTTATGTTAACATATCTTTGACTTCACAATAAAAGTAATATGAATTTCAATAAACAAATCAATGATAAATGATTTAGAAATCAATGACAAATAGCTTGGATGCTAGTTTCCTAATAACATGGCAATGTGTAGAAACTTTAACACGGATGTCTGGCAAGCATAATGCAAAAAACCTTGCAAATTTTTTCCATTGACAGATTTTTGAACCTATCTAATGAACATTTGCTGAAACTTGAAATACCTTGTATGCATGGCAATTTCGTTTATAAAGTTCATGAAATGCTGAACAAACAATGCAGTAGTAATAAAAAAAGGCATGCATGCCTAGAGGATTGTGTTTAAAAGACTGTCTCGTATATAAACAAGGCAAAAGGAGCACAAAGGACTTCAGCTTTTCACAATGCCTTCAGCGAAAGATTCACAAAAATTTGTAGGCAATTCAGGCTAGTCAAGGAGGTTCTCGTATAATACAGAAATTCAAGCAATTATAAACTAATCAAAAATCAATGTGGTGAATTTTGATCAGAGAAGGAATCACAACAAACAGCTCTTTAAGGTTCAAATTTGGAGAAGGCACCGGTAAACTAGCAGCTTCAATAACTATAAGCTGCATGGCATGGAACTAAACTTAGAATCAGACAAGCATCTTCAAAACCCAAATTTTCTTCAAATTCTAATTTAGACTCAAGTAGAAATGAGGCCCAATATAGCCGAAGTGTAAGCTCCAGTGTAGATGGTGTTATAAGTTTAAGCTAATAAGCTTTCACAAGAGCCATAAGGGACAAAATTCACAAACATTTGTAGGCAATTCAGAGTAGTCCGTAAAGTTATTCCTATAATAAAGAAATTCAGGTAATCATGAACTAATAAAAAATGAATATCTTGAATGTTGATCAAAAAATGAATTAAAAAAACATGGACAAAGATATCATTTTGTCTAGCTAAAAAAAATTCAATCGCCTACTGCAAAACTGAGAGCTAGACATAGCAAAGAAAATGTTGTTATTCCAATAACACTCTTAACATCTCTATAATAGGAATTTAAATAAAAGAAAAAGACTTATTCATTTCTTTATTGGATGGTACCCTTCTCTCCCTTTGTTTCTTCTTAATGTAGGTGCATGAAAACATTAATTTCTTCCCTTCTGTAGTTGCATCATAAGGTAAGTTTGAAAGATTAATTTTAAAATAGCTTGACTTAGGCAACCATCATCTTAAAAAAAAAATGTGAATAAATAAATCTTGAATTAGTAGCCACCAATCTTGAAAATCAAAACGAATCTAATCTTATCCAAGATGATTAAAAATATTTAGACTCCACACCTAATAATCTCCCACTATGAGTCTGAATTTCATATGTAGTTTCTTAGCATTTATGTTTGAACATTTCTCTAACCAGCACCTTCTTTCATCGATCGTATAGGTTAACTGAAATACCTCAATCCGCAGAGGCAAACCTGCCAAACTTTGCTTTATTATTGTGATGCTCATTTTTTTTAATTTTTGCCTATCCTACAATGCCAATATATCCTTCCAAAGCTCCCATATGAGATTTATATTGCACTATTCTTCCAAAATCATTAGCAAGAGCTTTCATAGTAGCTCCAACTTTTTTCATACTTGACATCAAATACTTATTTCCATTCTTCATATCATGAGTTAACACCTAGATTTTCTTCTTTTTCAGATTGTAAAGAAAAACTGAAAATTCTAGCTAAGTATAATCCATTTATTGCCAATCTCTATTGCTCAAGTGTTTACTTTTCTTGGAAGAGTAGGAATAAAGTTATAAGGTTCCTAGATCACTGGGGTGCTAACCAGTAATCGGAGATTGGATTGATGTTCACGGCTTCAAGATCAATCAGTTTAGCTCTCTCTTCATCTAATTGTAGGTTCTATTCGGATCACTGGGGTGCTAACCAGTATTCGGAGTTGTCCTCTTCTTTTTGGAACCCTCCACCCGAATGGATCAAGGTCAATTTTGATGCAACTCTTCACAATCTAATGAAGCTGGAATTGCTGCAGTTTTCAGAGATCATAAGGGCAGATTTTTGCTTGCCTTTGGTTTTAAATGTGTTCATTGGGATATTGGCTTTTTGGAACTTTTGGCATTTCGTGCATTGAAGGTTGTTCTTCAATATTGGAGTTTTAATGGCAAATGTATTATTATTGAAGGGAACAATTTAAATGTCATCAAGTTTCTTCAAAATTCGGTTGATAAAGCTTGCAATCGATTTGATAAAAACTTGGTGGAGGACTTCT